ATATTATTTGTTTCTTTTTTTTACTTTTTTGCTCTTTTTTGTTTACTTTTTTCCATTGTTTTCTCTTTAAAAGCCTTTTTCAGTATCTTCGGTAGGGTGAGAGTGGGCCCGGCCTCCCAAGCATGTGCAGCAGTGGTAGTGTAAGTCGACTCCTCCCAGCGATCAACATCGGTGAGACTCATGGGGAGAGCAGCGACCATAGTGCAGAGGGGAGGGCGAGCCCAGCAGGGAGGGGAGACCGAGCCCATTGCCGGGGAGAGGGAGCCCTGAGGCTACGTCAACGAGGTAGGCCCAAAGGCGAAAGGGACTTCATCGTTGTCTGTGTCCGGTGCTGGTGGTGGCGAAGCAGTAGTGAGAGGGCACTGCAGCGACATCAACTATGTGTCTGAACGTAAGTGGTGAATTATAATCAAGTCCCATGATTCTATGAGTGTCACAAATGTATAATTAACCAATTGAATCACTAAAATGGTTACCTTACCTGACTTTGACTGCTATCTAGACAAAAATAAAACTCACCCCAGCTTCAACCAACAAAAAAGCATCCATTGTAAAAAGAAATCCTTTAACAAGTGACAAAACAGATAATTAACTATGATAATGCAAAACTTTAACTAACCCTCTTTTAATCCAAAGATATACATTCATAAAAATGGATAGCGGAAATAGATTGCTTTGGAGAATATCATTGGTGGAAAATATAGACAAAAAGGATCAAAATCTCTGGATCAATGTCCAAGTGTGGAATGAGGTAATTTCTCACAGATTTTTCAGTTTTTGGTAATGATCACATTAACTGCAGAGCAATAGAAAATCCTCAATTTGGTAGGCAGTCAGTTGGACTTAGGTCTTTGCTTCTGTTAGAAGTTCTTCTTCGCCAAGTTATTTTTTCACTTACACCAGATGAGAAAGTAAAAGACCTGTCTTTATTTGTAGGCTTTCTGGAGGTCTGAGTGCAACTGTCCTTTCTCCATTCTGTGATAAAAAACAACTTAAAAATCCAAAAGGCTGTTGCTAGGCAACTCTTCAACCCAAAGGTATCTAGTGTCAGCTTGTCTCACCGAAGTATCAAATATAGCTTCTCCAGAAGTTACACAACTTTGCGTAAACAATAAGTGAATACCGTATATCTCTACTTTTGACCTTTGAGCTGTGAAAAAAATCACACCTGTCCGTTCTCTGCAATGTAAGTGTCCAAACTTCCATTTTTTCTAATTTAACTAGATCTCTGTGCGCAGCTAACAAGTAACTTTAACCAGAGCTCCAAGCGCAGCCTGTAAAATAACATCAACCCCATTGTATTCCAAAATCCTTGAGATCTACCTTCCAGTTGCCTTTTTATTTTATGTGGCCATTATGTGGCCATTTGCTTTTTCATAATTTTTGTACTTACTAAAATCTTTTTGTGTCTTAAAAGTTTAACATTTTTGCACCATTTAGAAAATACTTTGATCTTTTTTTTACGCCTAAAGCAGGTGATCCATGCTTGCCCACTTTAAAATTGCATCAACCACAGTTTTACCCTCTCAATTAATCTGCCAAGGCCTTAAAAAGACAAATAACATTTAACATATTTTTAACCTGCATCAATTAACAGCTCTAATGTATATTTATGTAGGAGCTGTAGCATTGTAAAACATTATTGAGATTGTTCAGAAATGTTATGACAATGAATTACAATTACAGAAAAGCGAACATAATTACAGTCACTGGACTGCAGTAGTAACCATCGATGAGATACACCTTTGGATCCCTTTTCTGTCTAATAATCAATCATTAACTTGCATCATTTGAGGTAGTAAAATGACCCAAAATGCCTCAAAGTAGCATAATCAAACCAAATTTGACACTTGGCTACATTATGGGATATCAGAAAAGGTGACCAAAATTTTGGTAAAGGAGATAGATTATAATGACTATTTAAAGAACAGAAACGTAGACAGCATTAAGGATGAAGCTTACAGCTAAAGGCCAAGCCACCAACATTAGAGCAATTAAAATTAGGAATATCTAAAAGGCTATAATTAGATAATGCAGATCTCTCAAAGAGTTAGAGAGTTTGAAGAATTTACAAATAAAATGTGAAGGTTGACTTCAACCTGTTTATTGAATTAGCTTTGGGGGACTTGGCCTTGTTTTCAATTTTCCCAGACAGTGATCTCTCCAACATAAATCACAGTACCAATAAATAACCTGCAATATTTGCCCACAGTGTTGAATTTAAAGGTGAGCTGTGATCCAAACCACAGGCATTACATAACTTTCAGTTCACATTGTATGGTGCACTGGTGGGACACTCTGACTGAAAGGCTGGTTCTCATTTATATTTAGATGTGAAATATTGTGAGTGAATGGCAGATTGTAGCTACTGACCAAGTTCATCCAGAACAGTGACACAATGGAGATATTCAAGTCCAAAACAGGTCGTCCAACTGGGAATACAGCCCACAGCAAAACATTAACTCATTCATTGCATATTTTATCCCTGACTGGAAGAGCCCCCAACAGTTTAGGCCAGATTTTGGTAGAATGGGGCAACTCACAACATGCCCCATTAGAATCAGGTACAACTGCATTTTTAGGTTAAAATATTTTTGCTCACAATTTGTTGACAATGAGATGATAGCGGTCCAGTGGTGACAACTGGATACCTGGGACCAAAGTGCAAAATGGGACAAACAGTATCTCATTAACTGATGAAATTATTAGGACTGAGAAATAGAAGGATGAAAGATCAGAGAAGAAAAAATCACATGCAGAACGAGAAATAGAGAGAAAGAATGACAGGATTGAAAGAGAGAGAAGAATGACAGAAAGGAACAGTAAGAAAGGTTTTTTTTAGATCTCTTAAAACAATTCATAGTGTGAAGGGGAATAAGACTTGTCATTTCCATTTGTTCAGCTTTTGGACCAGAGAAGTTGATTGCCAGTGTTTCACCGCTAGCAATGTTTTCTGAGATGCAGTTTTGCAAAGATAACAGAGGAAAGATGGAAATTGATCAGTAACTTGTAATTATTCACAATTTCATGTGAGATTTCTTCCTCATCAAAAGTTGCTGATCAATCTATTCATTAATAACAATATGCATTGTTCAGAGTTTGTTTCAGTAATGCCCTTTATGTACCAAGGTCGTAGTGGACAGGGTGCAATTATGATCACTCTGTATAAATCCTCAATCTCTCAACCTGGTGAAGTTATACTCCCAGGTATGACAAATCATAGCCAAAATGCTGTAGTTATATCACTGCCCTGTTGAGATGGCTGTTACAAATCCCATGGCACTATTTTAAGAGGTGTTGTGGAGTTTGCCTAACATTTATCCCTTAGACATCTCCACTGAAGTCAGATTAACTGGTTCTTCTTTACAATTGTTTTGTGGAATCTTGCTGTGCTGCAGGCCATGCCAGCCTAATAACATGTTCATAAATACAGTTTTACATAGAAATTAACTAATGTCAGCATAAGATTGAGTTTCTTCCACTATATCAATATCATACAAATCTAATACAAACAGTAGGCATTCCTTATATAGGCAATGTATTAATAGGAACTTCATGCCACACTGTTTTTTTCGCAGTAAAATCAACGCTTTCTTGCAACCTTCTGCTCCTATACAGAAGATTTATTGTGTTGTCTAACCTGGAGTTTGTCAGCAATGTAGATGTGTAGCTCTCTGTTCCTCTGTCTAAGCAATACATAACTGTAGCCCTAGTACAGATCTGCGAGGACACCACCAGTGACATCCTGTCCATTTAAGCACATATCTAGTACCTTCCACTCTGTCTCCTACCTCCACCTATTCCCTATCCAAGTGAATAGGGTGCCTCCAATTTCATATGTTCTCAACCATTCTGTGACTCTTTCCTTAGTGACAAATTAATGGACAACATTCCATCATACCAATGAAAAAGCAGTGAGGCACATGAGAACACAGACAGGAGAAAATCTCAAATAAACCTTTGAAAACGGTAACATGAAAATAAACTTGGGAAGGCACATTTCAAGGAAAACTTGAATTCCATATTAGTTATATAAGGTGTGAGCTAACTTCCCAAAAATGTGGGTTTTTTGTCTGTAAAATGTGGTCTTTCTTGCAAACTGTTTTGGAAGCTGCGGCTGTCTCTCTTTTTTCAGCACATTTTAAGATCTGGAGGATTTATAAGCCATTTCACAGATTACATAAATATGAAAGACAGGCACAGCTCCAGCAGCAGAAGGCTGGTGCAGAAACTCTGCCAAATCCCTGACAGAGTCTTTTTTTCTCAAATTTTAGAGAGAGAAACCAGAGAAACCAGAAAGAAAATAATTTTCTTCCCATTTTTGTTGTGTTTTGTTTAAATTAAAAGCCACTTCCAGAAGCACATAGCATACCTCTAGGCTACTGATCTTAAAATTTCAACTTTCTTAACGGATGTAGGCTCTCTGCACTGGCCGCGAGTCTATGCTTGATAAGTATGCCATGCACGATAGAAGAGTTAGCTTCCCATGTGGAGGGAGAGAAACAGAGGGAATATGTTTCAGTTTAGTGACCTTTCAGAGTTCTGATCAAGGGTCATCGCCTTGAACCTGAACTCTCTCTCTCACCAAGAGGCTGCCAGACTTGCTGAGTATTTTCAGCATTTTCTCTTCTGATTTCAGATTCTCGGCATCTCTAGTGGCTTGCTTTTCGATTCCAGTCTCTTCTGTGCTCCCCTCTTTCTGCTGCTGCTCTCCAGGATTTGGGAGCTAAATGGAGATTGTGGCACATCACAGGAGAGGGATCGAACTGAGAGTATTCGGCTGTGTTTGGTCCGCCTCAACCTCCGACACTAAGCTTTATTTACACACACACAGAAAGCAGAGCGGCTGCCTTTGGTTTTTGTGGTGTTAAATGGTGAGTAGTTGGGAGGCAGTCTCCGCCTCTAAACGTTCTCTCCTGGAGCTAAGGCTTGCAGGTTATAAATAGCAGCTGTCTGGGTTGCCGTGTTAGCTCGGAGCTGCAAGGTCCTTGCTCCCAGTGTCTGTGTGCGTGTGTGTCTCCCCAGGCTGGACAATGCATCACCTCAGCTGGCTCTTCCTGGCCCCGCTATTAGCCCTGGCGACAGCCGCTCCCCGCTGTCCCAGTGGCTGCCACTGTCTGGGGGACCTGCTCCACGTGGTGTGTGAGAACAGGGGGCTGAAGAAAATCCCAAGAGTTCCCAACAAGGTCCGTCTCCTGAGTCTGCAGCAGAACAACTACCCCACCCTCCCTTCCAACGGCTTCAGCTCAATGAAGGGCCTCGTTTCACTCCACCTCCAGGATTGTCGCATACGAGAGATCTCCCCTAACGCTTTCCGCGGACTCAAGAAGCTCGTCTATCTGTACTTGTCCAACAATGAGATTAACACCATCAGGCCAGGCGCCTTCCAGGACCTCTCACAATTGACCTACCTCTACATGGACAACAACCGAATCAGTGAGCTCGCCAAGGGTCTGCTGAGCCCGCTCAAGAGCTTGTTCCTGCTGCAGCTCTCCAACAACAGGATGCACCAGATCAAAGCCGGTAGCTTCGCTGGCGCTAAGGAACTGCGGTGGCTCCATCTCAGCGGTAATGACATGACCACCATCCTGCCCGGCGCCCTGGATGATGTTGAGAACTTGGCGACTCTTCATCTGGACAAGAACAAGCTGAACAGCTTCCCGGCGGCGGCCCTCAGCAAGCTCCGGGTGGTCGAGGAACTGAAACTCTCCTACAACTCCATCAGGACCATCCCTGACAACGCATTCCGCTCGTTTGGGAGATACGTCGAGCGCATGTGGCTGAACAACATGGGGCTGGAGAGGGTAAGATGGTTTAGCTGGTTGGGCCGCTAGCACTGTACTCAGGGATAAGTGCAGTTCGAGGGACATCCCGTTTGGCCTGATTCAGCGCCAGCTTCTGATTATCAAGAATAAAGTCTTCTTAGTCTCACTTAGTGAGGCTGCCGTGTAAGGGGTTTGAGGAATCACGCTGATTAAATCCACTCACTGAGATGAATGGATTATCAGTGATTTGACAGTATTGAGTGCTGGGCAGCGAGCGACCGAACAGTGAAACAGTGAGACTGGCAGAGGCTCTGGCTGCAATCCCCGCACCACTCCATAGAACAACAAATAAGAAACGGGTGGGACATCTCCCAACTCATTTATTAAGGTATGTCCCCCATCAATCCAAAAGAATTGCTAAGGCAAAAGGGAAAACACAAAATTATCACATTGCAGAAAGAGGCCATTCAGCCCCTCCTGTCTGTTCAGGATCTCTGCTTGAGTAATTCACTCAGTGCCATTCCCCCTCCTTCTCTGGGTGACTCCCCACTTTCTTCCTTTTCAGCAAACAGTCTAATATCCTGTTGAATGATACGATTGAAGCTGCCTCCACTATACTCTCAGGCAGTGCACTCCAGACCATAACCACTTGTTGCACCAAAATATTTCTTCTCATTTTGCTTTTGCAAACTATTTTAAATCTGTGCCCCAGTGTTCTTGCTCCTTTCATGAATGAGTATAATTTCTTGCTATCCACTCTTTCCAGACAGGACAGGAGATTGTAGACTGAATAATCAATCACTCCAAGCGACTTGGTAACTGTTTATACCTCTGGGCTAGTCAAGGACTGAAGAGGAAGGAGTTTGGACTAGAACCTTAATATTCCTTTCAGGTGATATTTGTTTAGTCCACAGTTTGTGGTATCTCTGTGCTGTGTTTTGGCATGCAAAGCTTCTCAATTTGCAATATTAGTGGCTGGATAGAAAATTAAACAGTCTTAAGTTTGTAGCAGCAACATTTTTGTTTTTGTTTCTGGGATGTGAGCATCTCTAGCAAGGCCAGTATTTATTGTCTATCACCACTTGCGTTTGAGAAGTTGGTGATGAGTTGCCATCTGGTGTAGGTGCACTCACAGTTTTGTGAGGGAGGGAGCTCCAGATTTTTGATCCAGTGATAGTGAAGAAATGGTGATATTGTTCCAAGTCAGGCTGGTGAGTGAATTGAACAGAAACTTATAGGAGAGGGTTTCCCATATATTTGGTGCCTTTTTATTTTAAGATGTCAGAGGTTTGAAAGGTTTTGTTCAAGGAGCCTTGGTAAGTTGCTGCAGTGCATCTTGTAGATGGTATACACTGCTGCCACAGCGTGTCACTAGCGAAGGGAGTGAATGTTTAAGGTGGTGAATGAATATCACTCAAGGGCCTGTTTTGTCCTGGGTGATATGGAATTTCTTAAGTGCTTTTGAAGCTGCACTCATCCAGACAATTGGAGAGTATTCAATCATTCTCCTGACTTGTGCCTTGTACATGGTGGACAGGCTTTGGGAAGACAAGTAGTGTTACTTGCTGAAGAATTATCAGTCTCTGACCTGTTTTTGTTGCCACAATATTTATATGCTTGGTCCCGCTCCATTTCTGCTCATGGTAAGTCCCAGAATGTTGATAGTAGGGGATTCAGCAATGGCAATGCTGTTGGGATGTCATGGGGAAATGGTTTGATTATCCCATGTTGGAGATACTTGTATGGCACAAAGGTTACCACTTCTCAGTCCATGCCTGAGTGCAGATCAGTTCCTGGTGCATGCAGACATAGATTGATTCAATATCTGAGGAGTTGCAAATGATACTGATCACTATACTATCATCAGCAAATACCATCACTTCTGACCTTATGTCAGATGGAAGGCCATTGATGAACAGCTGAAAATGGTGGGCCTAGGAGTCTGTTCTGTGGAACTACTGCAGTGATGTCCTGGACCTAAGATGATTAGTCTCCAACAACCAAACTATCTGCCTTTGTGTTATGCCTGACTCTAATCAGGGGAGAATTTTCCTCTGATTCGACATTTATTTCCACCTTGCTTGGGCTCCTGATGCCACACTTCATCACATACTTCTTTGATGCACTTTCAGTGACACCTTCCATTATTTTGCAGATAATTGAGAATAGAGTAATGAAACAGTAATTCGCTGGATTGGATTTGTCCTGCTTTTTACAGACAGGTCATACCTGGGCAATTTCTACTTGTTGGATAGATATCAATACTGTAACTATGTCTAGAGCTCAAGTCTTACAACTCACATCTGGTCAGGGCCCATAGCCTTTGCTGTATCCAGCACCTTCAGCCACTCAATGATATAATGTGGAATGAATCAAGGTGCCTGAAGACTGGGAGCTGTGATTGTGTGGATCTCAGGAGGAGACTGAAATGGATCATCCACTCAGATCCTCCAGCCTTTTCTTTTGCACTGACCTGCTGAGTCTTCCATCATTGAGGATAGGGATAGTTTTAGGGCTTCCTCCTGATTACCACTAGTTGGGGAGGAGGCAATGGCCTAGTGGTATTATTGCTGGATTGTTAATCCAGAAATGCATATAATGTTCTGGGGACCCAGGTTCAAATCTCACCATGGCAGATGATGGAATTTGAAATCAATAAAAAATAATCAGGAATGAAGAGTCTAATGAGGACAATGAAGCCATTGTCAATTTGTTGGAAAAACCCATCTGGTTCATTAATGCTCTTTAAGGAAGGAAACTGCCATCCTTACCAGGTCTGGCCTGCATATGATTCCAGACCCACAGCAATGTGGTTGACTCTTAACTGCCCTCTGAGCAATTAGAGATGGGTAATAAATGCTGGCCTGGACAGTGACACCCTCATCCTGCAAATGAAAGAACATTTCCCTGCAACCAGTGTTCTACAAATTGTATTCTATCACAATTGCTTTTATCAAGTGTGATTAATACCTTAGAATGTAGTGTGCTATAGATTGGCCTTCTTGCAAAGAATTCTTTAAAACTTCCTGGTAAACTGACAGTTCAGTTTTCAGAATCATCAATGTAGTTGTCCAATGGTTTTTGGTAAATGCGCGATGCAAAGCCACGATGACTAGTTTCTTCGAAGTTTAGTGCCAGGTCTGCACTGAATTAGTGTGTTTCAAATAACAATATTGATGCACTGAATTGGCTTCAGTGGCCCAGGATGTGTAAAGGCAAATAATCACCCATCAGGCCTCCTACACATGCTTACCATCAATTGCCCCTTGGTGCCCATGTTCATGAGTAGAAAGGATGGTATTAAGCTGTACTTCAGATCACAGTCAAACAGTCTGCTAATGCAATGTGAGCTTTTGTACAAAATTGTTTGCTTTGTAGGTTTCTGGAGGCTTTATAAAGCTGAACCTAGCTGGAGTCAGTCCCTTTGGAACAGGGAAGAACAGTGACCTTAAAAAGGAGATTTTGAAGAAAAAGAATTTTTGAATTTATGTAGTGCCTTTCATAATCTCAGCAAACCCCAAAATGGTTTACACTCAATAAAATGCTTTGAATTGTAGTCACAGCTGTAAGTTAGGAAACATGAAATCCAACTGTATACAAGAAACTCCCGTAAACAGAACTATGATAACAAGTGGACAATCTGGTTTTAGTTATGAAAGCTGACATTTTAGATCTGGAGCCTTCTTCATTTTTCTGAAGAAGGGTCCAGACCCGAAACATCAGCTTTCCTGCTCCTCTGATGCTGCCTGGCCTGCTGTGTTCATCCAGCTCCACACCTTGTTATCTCAGACTCCAGCATCGGCAGTTCCTATAATCTCTGGTTTTAGTCATGTTGTTTAAGGGATCGTTGTTGACCAGAAGACGGAAACATACCCTCTTCTTTAAAATAATGTTCTGGAATTCTTCACTTCCACCTGACTGAGGACACTGAGAGGTATCAACATTGCACTCTGAAGAGTCCATTGATATCCACCAGTCTGGCCACAAAGGATTAGCATACTATTTTACCGTGAACTGCCAAAGTTTTTCTCCTAATTTATCATAAATGTTTCAAACTAAACAAATAAATAAACATTTCTCCAAATCCAAATCTTTCAGAAGACTGAATGGATTATAATGCTCCTTTAAACATATGAAACAAACCCAGCTCTGTGCAGCTTCACTAGTGTCTACTGGGGTTTGTAATAAGTAGACCATTGACTGGTGTGTGTTCCTGAAAGAAAGGCGACATTCAGGCGTGTTTCTCCATGCTGAGGTAGATATGTTCTGCCAGGCACAGTCATGGAGTTTATTTGAAGTATTCTGGATTTATTTGAGCATACAAACACAATTCACACTGTGAATAGAATTAATGCTGTTCCAGATTACATTCAGACTCAATTAAGTCCACATACAGAGGTAAAGAACGACCTCTGCTTTTGTCTACCCAGTATTTTCAACTCATTTCAGTAAGTGAGCACAAAGACTATAAAAACAGAAAACTCAGACTCAAATGCCTTTTGCCTTATAAAACAGTTTGCACCATGATAGTCAACTCTATGTTAAGTATCACCTGGTGTGGCTCAGGAGCCCCATTCTGATATAGCAAAGGAAGACCTGGATTGAGAAGATTCACAATTCATTGGCCACTGTTTTCACTGAACCCTTTTGTCATCCAATAAGTGTTTTGTTTCTGCTCACTTCTTCTAATGACCTTCCAAACAGTCAGCCTCCCGAAGTCACAGCTATCAGTGATTGTCTCCCAGTTGTTTGTATCAATGTCCAACATTTTGATATCTCACTTGCAGGTGTCCTTGTAGAGAAGGTTTGGACACCCAGGTGGTCATGACTCAGTGACCAGTTCACCACACAGAAGGCCTTTAGATATATGATTGCCATCCATCCGATGAATGTGACTGAACCAGTGCAGACATTGCTGGCTTAGCAATTAGTGGACGCTTATGGAATTACCATGCTCCAGAACCTCTGAGTTGGTGACCTTGTCCTGCCCAGAAATGTTGAGAATGTGAAGGTGGAAACTGCTCAGCTTTTTCTCCTGC